GCTTTGTGCTTAATTACAAACAAACCCTTTAATACCCTGGTCGTTGTATACTTTTAATCTAGAAGATACATTGAAGTTATTAACCTTTCCAGGTAAAATCTTGTTTAGTTTTAATCTCTAGTTCAGGTCGGTCATCCGTATATCAAAACATACCATTTCATTTTATTTGATAAAACATCTAGGGATACCCAAGTTAAGAACTAAGGTTTTACGTAATGTCAGCCCTCATTAGTCCAAACAAGATGGTGGTACACATGGTCGCTCACTGGAGCTTTATATTGTTTCAATGTGACGTAGTGTAGCTTTAAATTGTTATTTATCTATGCCTGTATTGCATGGTTACAGTATTACATAATTGTGTTGCATGGTGGTACACATGGTCGCTCACTGGAGCTTTATATTGTTTCAATGTGACGTAGTGTAGCTTTAAATTATTATTTATTTATGTCTGTATTGCATGGTTACAGTATTACATAATTGTGTTTCATGGTGGTACACATGGTCGCTCACTGGAGCTTTATATTGTTTCAGCTTTTTTTAGCTACAGAAAATAATTGTAATTTTTGTATAGAAATGAAGACATTTTATTTGAAAGTAAGAAACAAAACTGAGATACAACTGATTTGTGATAGTAAAATTTATAAAAACCTTCATTACTCAAACGTTAGTAGATCCAGTGGGAATATTGCGAATAACAATATTTGAATAAGTCTTTATTTTGTTCACGTTGAAACAGAAACCAATGAAGGTTTTAGGGTTAACAATACGTCTTTTGACTCCTTTACTCAGCAGATATACAGCAAGTCCACTTCCCTTGACAAGTTCTGCTCCACTAGAGAGTGCATCACATTCACACAAGGTTTCCTCCAAACTATTTACTTCAATGCAGTCCTCGTTTCTAAAGAGGTTATTGTAAGTAAGAGTGTCAGAACGATATAGAACGTTGTTTCTTTCATCAGGTAACACTGTTCACAGAAAGAGGAGCAACCGGTCTTGGAAGCTTCTGAACTGATCTTACTTTACTTTTTCCTTCCATATCTGCTGTTAAGCATTCCAAGTCAGAATGAGAGGCCTTAGTCAGTATAAGGCTATGTGCCATTCCAAAGCAAGGAAAGGGGTCTGGTTCAATGTAAAATTGTGTTTATTCAATGTTTTAATCACACCATCATAATTCTTTGAGAATACTTCCCAAGTATTTGATGAACATACACAAAACTAGGACCTAGTGCTATTGGTTGCTCAATTTCCCAATTACCTGGTCAGTATGGTGCAGTACTATTGGTTTTTTACTTTCTCATTGTGCTGTTGGTTAGCTGTTGTTCAGTTTCTCAATGTCCATGTCAGTAAGACCTAGTGCTGTTAATTGTTCAGTTTCACAATGTGGTGGTCAGTAGAACTTAGTGCTGTTGGTTATTCAGTTTCCCAATGTCCATGTCAGTAAGACCTAGTGCTGTTAATTGTTCAGTTTCCCAATGTCCATGACAGTAAGACCTAGTTTCACAATGTGGTGGTCAATATAACTTAGTGCTGTCGTTTGTTCAGTTTCCCAATGTCCATGTCAGTAAGACCTAGTGCTGTTAATTGTTCAGTTTCACAATGTGGTGGTCAATAGAACTTAGTGCTGTTAATTGTTCAGTTTCCCAATATCCATGTCAGTAAGACCTAGTGCTGTTGGTTATTCAGTTTCCCAATGTCCATGTCAGTAAAACCTAGTGCTGTTAATTGTTCAGTTTCAATGTCCATGTCAGTAAGACCTAGTGCTGTTAATTGTTCAGTTT